TTAACCCTTTCGCGCCGACTGTCACAAATACGTGCCAGCATAAAACCGTATCAACCAGGGTAAAAAGATAAAACTGGTAATCAAAGTATTTCTTTAGCAGTTTATTTGTGGGCGGAGTTATAATTGTTTGATTTATTTAATTCACCATTACTTTGTTCAAAATAAAACTATTTAGTTATACTTTGAATTAACATTGATTATATCTATGATTAAACTAACAATAATTAAAGTAAAAGCAAAGTAAGTCTGTCAAATTAGAAACGACTACATTTAAGTTACCGTTTTTTTATTTAATTACGTCCTGATCCTGATTTTGTACGAATGTTTTTCTGAATCACCCGTCCCCAAGGGATTAAAAAAAAGAAAAGAAAAGGTGAAAAATCAAAAATATTTTCAAGAAATTACTTGGTAAATGCTAATTTCTTGGTTTTGTTGTTTTAATGTGTAGGGGGGGGGAGAAAAATCTAAACAGGCTCTGAAACGCTGCTCACCATTTCTCTGTTTTTGCTTTGACCAAGATCTTTATAATTTATGTGTTTCAAAAAACTTAATTCATCTAAGTGAACATTTATATGAGTTATCAACTTTTTCCGTCTTTGAAAGGCAATTTTTCTAAAATATCTGAAATGGTAACTAAGTTTACTGCCTTTATTTATTTATTTTTATTGATTTATTATTTTTTTGTTGTTTAATAAATTTGATTTATGATGAATTTGGCTTCAGCTGAAAATAAATAATATGAAAAGATTAAACTTTTGTATACTACTTAGCCAGAAAAATATCAAAAAATAGTTACGAAATTATTTAATTACAGATTTGTTTTCAGGATAAACAGATTATCCATTTGAACTAAACTAATGTGAAAACTTGTATTTTCATTAAAAAAATTTATCTTTTGACGAGATTTTATAAAAAGTAAAGGAAATCCTAAAACTCCATAACTTTTACTGCTATTGGTTTAAACTGCTCATACTAATTTTTAAAAGGATGAGTAACACTCCCGCGTAGTTGCCAACTCTTGCGGAGTTTTTCATAAAATTTATTGTCAAATCTTAAGTGGTAGAAAAATTTAGGTTTTCATTTTCTCTTTAATTCTTGGATTTATAAATTTAATGTATAAAGATTTTGGGCACCACTACTTGTAAATAATTTGAACATTTTTGTAAATGCCGGATTTTCCAATGTTGTATTAACTCTCTCACAAGGAAAAAAATATAGCAAAATTTTTTCCTTACAATAGAAATTGAAATGTTATTTTAGAGCTACTTGAGAAAATATTCTTAGAAAAAAGTGAAACTTCGCAGAGTCCTTGTGTAGCGATTTCGATGTAAATTTATTATGTTTTGTGTAACTAACATCACCAACTTTAAAATAAAATGCGTTGCATGTGTTGAAATTATTCCAGGTAAAATTTATTAACTAAAGTACATAAAATTCCCTCCTGAAATAGCTAACTCAACTCCACCAACAAATATTTCATACGAATTTACTACTTTAACTACGTTTGCGCTTAAACATTGCTGAGTTTTCTTTGTAGCAATTTACACTAAACTGCAACTTTAAATGTCATCTAAGGTCAAAATTGAAAAGTCCCATTTTCTTTTAAATTCTATAAGTCATATTTGAAGAAAAAAAATGTTTGCTTAATCGAATGAAATGTAACTAATTGTCATTTTGTTTAAAAAATATCTTCCATTTCATAATATCCTTGAAATGTCTGAGATACGAAATAGGGGGCTTGGGGTTATGATCAAGGGCGCCTTAGAGGTCTAAGGTTACATGACCTTGACTCCAAGAAATTGAGTGATTATTTTAAAATTATTTAATCCAAGTGAATCCAAACAGGTAGTAATCCATTTGGCGCACAGATCCTGCAAAGAAATAGCCAAGACGTTTGACTTACCCTCAGTAAGGATGCGAAGAGCAGCCAAAAATGACACCAGTGGCACCATCTTCCGGCTAATCACCATCTTGTGGTCCCACCTACATGAAGAAAAACATGTTGGCTCATTGCTTGCCAAAGGTTGCTATGCATGAAACCCGATGTCCACTGTCCACCAACGTCGTTACGGTGCTTGGGCATGCCTGACCATTGGTCTGAGGGGTTTGGATTTTTGCTAAATTCAACAATTATTTCATTGTGGGGACGATTCAAATTGAGTTCCGAAATCGTTTTCCCGGATGATGTTCCATGGGTGAACGAACTAGATTTTTTTTAAATGTATTTTTATTTCATAGTTTTCTACTTCCGGATGTTGTGAGAGGATTGAGCAAAAGCAACACCGGTATTCGTCGATGGACTCATGACGTTGCTGATTTTTTTCTTTTTTTTTTAAACATGGATTTGTTTGTTTGTTGTTGGAAATAACGGGGACAGTTGTCCACCAATCGGGATGAAGTTCTCATGGATTTCGAATGAAATAAAAACACAGAATGCCAGAAAAAAAATAGCGATACATTGAGGTCAGTGGGGCAGAATTTTAAACACAGCTTAGTCCAAAAGGGTGTAGGAGTGCTGCTTGTGAAAGGAAAATCGAATTGGTTCCCTTACACTGCATCCGTTGGATGGACAAAAGATGGAGATCGTTTTTCATGAATCAAATTTCTCTACGTTTTAAGAAGAAAAAAAATGTCGCCAACATTGACCATCTAAAAACTTCATGCATGACTAATGCATTGATTGTAATTAAATATCAGTATACAAATTAAAAAAAAAAAATCTTTGCTGGTGCACATTAAAATGCATAGTCATTGATACCTTCAATTAACATGACATCGTATACAAGGTGAAGCTAATAATGTTTCGAACTGATCGATTAACTCCAGAAAATATTATATGAATTATATATCCATTTAATATGTTTATAATCAGATACCTATTTAACATGTTTCCAATTAACTTCCTTAATACCTTCAATTAACATGAAATCGTATACAAGGTGAAGCTATTAATGTTTAGAACCGATCTATTAACTCCTGAAAATATTATGTGAATTAGATATCTACCCATTTAATATATTTATAATCAGATACCTATTTAACATGTTTCCAATTAACTTCCTTAATACCTTCAATTAACATGAAATCATATACAAGTTGAAGCTATTAATGCTTAGAACCGATCTATTAACTCCTGAAAATATTATGTGAATTAGATATCTACCCATTTAATATATTTATAATCAGATACCTATTTAACATGTTTCCAATTAACTTCCTTAATACCTTCAATTAACATGAAATCATATACAAGGTGAAGCTATTAATGTTTAGAACCGATCTATTAACTCCTGAAAATATTATGTCAATTAGATACCCATTTAATATGTTTATAATCAGATATCTATTTAACATGTTTCCAATTAACTTCCTTAATACCTTCAATTAACATGAAATCATATACAAATTGAAGCTATTAATGCATAGAACCGATCTATTAGCTCCTGAAAATATTATGTGAATTATATATCCATTTAATATGTTTATAATCAGATACCTATTTAACATGTTTCCAATTAACTTCCTTAATACCTTCAATTAACATGAAATCATATACAAGGTGAAGCTATTAATGTTTAGAACCGATCTATTAACTCCTGAAAATATTATGTGAATTAGATACCCATTTAATATATTTATAATCAGATACCTATTTAACATGTTTCTAATTAACTTAATATGATCTAATATACTTCTATTTAGCGTAAATTATTCACAAAGTGCTGCTATGCCTTCTATTAACATGAAATTATATGGAAGGTGCGGTTATACCTTTAATTAACATGATATTATAAGCAAGGTGCGGCGAGTAATTTTTAAAACCGATCTAAACTTAAAACCGTTTTATATGCTTCGAATCACCGTAACCTGATCCAATATGCTTCTATTAACATAAAACTAATCACAATGTGAGGTTATACCTTCAATTTAACATTATATACAATGCGAGACTGTTTCTTCTATCAACATGAAATTATACATAAAGTGCGACTATACCTTCAATTAACATGAAATTATATACAGTACACTATATATACATTACTTTTCTCGAAAATCTATTTTGAAGAACTTATTTTTTTCAACTGTACGACAGATGTGTGTAAATACAATGAAATATATATTGAGATCTTTTAATCCGAGAATTTTTAATTCTTTTCAAAATTTACTTTTTTTTTTTTATAACCGCCGTTTAACGGCCGGTCCAATTTTTGAGTTCACGACTACCAGTGTTCACCTTTGTAGCCTTGTAGTTTTGAACCCGATCCAGAAGACAAGGGAAATACTGGATCAAGTTTTTGGGAAAAAATTGCGTTCGAGGAGGGCTTTTTGCGGGAACCAACCCGCATTCGCGTAACATGGTGAGGAAAACCACGAAATCCTCCCATGATTATTCTGACGGCAAGAAGTCTCTAATAAACCATGATCCGTCTACCACTGAGTATATTTTACGTCAGCACTGTGCTCGGTATGAGCCGGGTGCGGAATTCGTATTGACCAGCCATATAGCTGAGATTCGAAACCGGGGTAACGTTATTGGAAAGAGAGCGCTTTATCACCTGAGCCACCATGACTCTTAATTTAGGGTTATCATCACGACACAAAAAATTATTGGTAAAGAATGATGCGATAGCTGAGGAAAGCGATATGGAAAATGATTGTGACCACTAGAGCACATAAATAAATCAACTATGCATAGAAATAAAAATGTAAAAATGTTTACATACCCTCAAATATTTGAGCTAGCGAAATATATTTTCCAGACCAATCGCAGAAATTTTAAAACGGAAAAACTTTTATGTCTTTTTCATATCTATACAGTATGGCTCATTGAAGGAATGCCTCTTTAAATATCTGATTAAATTATTTATGCATATGCATTGGTGGACAAAATTCTAATTTATTAAAAAATTAATACTTCATGTTTGTTACTATTTGAGAAAATATTTCCTGAAACTACGGAAATTTCCTAGTAGTTAAAGTGTTTGTGTTTATAATAAATGTAAAAAATAAATGACCTTCTGTTGAATTAAGGAAGCTTTATTCAGCAACTACCGCAGGAAACTATCTTCTACCGCCAAAATTAGCAACAGTGAGATTTTTGAGACAAAACAAACAATAATATCAAGTACAATATTTTAATATTTTTTGCCTTTCTATAAATTCAAAACTCTTCTTATGTTGGAGATTATATAAAATAACCGATTTTATTGGAATAAAAAAATCATTTAGAACATAATATGCATGATTTTGTTATTTTAGCTTTCATTTAGTCTTTCGATTTTTGTTCGTTTAATTAATCTTGATTATTTTTAGTCATCGAATAAATCGATTTATTATTTTTCTCTCAGAAATTGAGCAAAGAAAAAAAAATTTTCCAAGCCAATTTAAAAAAATTTTTAAATTTTATATTTTATTTGTTTTAATTTTTTTTCCACATTTTGTCAGATTATATACAGTCATTATACTTTTTATTTGAGCATGAAGTAACTAAAAGAAATCGCTAAACATTATTTTTTTTTGTTATGTTATACAAGACATACGAATTAAATTGTTTTTAAAAAAAGAATAAAACACAAATAAAATTTTAAAAAAGAGAGATAAGATTTAAAAAAAATCTCGTCCAATTTGATTTAGGTGTGTGAAGCTATTCAAAACCACACTGAAAACGGAAATAAAATAATCTATCTATATTATATAAAACGCTAATACGTACGTATGTATCAATAAAACCGATGATATTTCTTTTCTCGCGCTGGCAACAGTTTTCATTTTTAATTGATTGGATTCGGCGCGCAAGAGCACGTAGTGAGCAACAAGATAACAATAACCAGAGTGAGCATTATCAGGTTGTTCAATTCAGATTCATGCACTAAAAACATGACAATATTTAATTTAAACTCAATTAGGAATTAATTAATTAATTGAAGTGAGAATGCTTTAAAAGGCCGCTGTTGAATTGATATTTTTCTACTGGGAGCTACCTAAACGTCTAAAAAACGTTTAAGTGTTTGTATTGAATGCATTGAATTTTTTTATATTTCGCGTTTATTTATGCATTGAATTTTCACGCTTTAAAATGCAGAATATTAGTGAAGCAATATTTGATAATTTATTTTGCTAATATGTTTCTTATTTAGCTAATGTTTTGATTTTTTCACCATGTACAATCTAAATAGCTAATATACTTTTTTAAAAGCCAATAAGAACATTGGTAGAATTCTTCTACATAAGTACAATACTATGTCTTTGATGATAAAATACTATGTCTTTGATGATAATATATTATGTCTTTGTGCTAGAACATTGTGTTCATTGGCGAGCGAGCGCAGCGAGCCATGGTTCACGGCGTGAACCACATAGGATTGCGTAGCAATTCTCGGGGGTTGGCGAGCGTTAGCGAGCAGGGGGCGGAGCCTCCTAGTTATTTTTTAATCTACTAGTCGGATACCTGCAAGTGACGTCATGATAGATAATTCGTTGCATTTGTCGATTCAGGAGCCAATCAGGTTCGACACACAGGCTGACGACGCTTATAGGTATCCAATTAATTCTGCTTTAAATCACATGATCAGGCGTAATCACTTCACTTCTTTTCGAGTTTCAAGTACCCAATTATACAACTAAACACGCAGTTGAAACAAAATGAGCGCCAGTGTTTTTTTTAATCTTTTTTTTATATTTTTGCTTTAAATTTAGAAATGGCACCTTCGAAAAGATTATGACGCATTTAAGCTTTTGAAGACAGAAATGGATGATTAAAATTAAATGAATTAATATATTGCAAACCTACCCATAAAAGCAAAACAATCATACATAAAACTAATTCATGACAAAGCTCAGCGTTAAAGAATTAATTTTTTATACTCTGAGTATTTTAAAATGCTATTTAAATTAACAGCTTATATGCCAATGTTCTATTTTTGGAACAGTTCTTTTTTTTTTCTTCCAAACATTAAGGACTAGTGACTCAAGTCTTTCGTTCTTAGCACTTTCAAATAGCAAAGCAAAACATTGATATTAACCAAAATCTGTTTTTAATCCTTTGACCATTTGACTCAGAAGGGACACTGGTATCCCTTTTCTATATAGTACTTTTTTTTCCTGACGCTCTAGTTGCAAGCAAAAATATATTTTTAAATTTTTCTATTATAAAAAACAGTCAAATAGTTACTTAAAAAATCTTTTGAATTATCGGAATTATGTTTGTACTAAATCATAAAATCCGAAAAAAGTACAAATATTTATTTTTCAATTTCATATTGAAGAATTAAGCAATAATTGATTTTGTAAATTAAAGAAATTTCAATGATAAATAACTGTTTCTCTTAGATCTAAATAACTACAAATAAGTGTATATTTTATTTCATTTTATTTTATAACCGTCGTTGAACAGCCGACCCAATTTTATGGGTTTACGACTACTAATGTTCAACTCCGTAGCCTTGTAATTTTGAATCCAATCCAGAAGACAAGGGAACTCCTGGATAGAGTATTGGGAGAAATATGCCTTCGTGGAGGACTTTTTGATGGATCTAATCCGCATTTGCGTTACATGGAGAGGAAGACCACGAGAACATCCCACGGTTAGCCTGACGGCAAGGGGACTCTAACCCATGATCCGTCTACACTGAGGATATTTCACATCAGCACTGTGATCGGTGCAAGCTGGAAGCGGAATTCGTATCGACTGAGATTCGAACCCGGTTCGCCTCATTGGAAGGCGAACGCTCTATCCCCTGAGCCATCGCGGTTCAAATATGTGTATATTGGAAAAATTATTGTTTGGAAGATTTTAACTTTATCGTAGGAAAAAAAAATTCCGTTGATTTATTCTGTATTTAGAAACCATAAATTAATAAAATACTAAATATTATATTTTTCACTTATTTTGACCTAAATTAATACAAAATCATGAAAAAGTACGAAATATATGTTAATAAAAAATTCCATTTGTGTTTGATACACGTTTAATAAAAGTTGATGAAAATATCTTTAATAAACACTTAAGAGCCAGCTTGCATGATTGAGCGAGGTACTTAACCCAATGTGTGCATAGTCTACTACTTATTCTGAAATTTTTTTAAAAAAATGGTCAAAAGAATTTTTTATTTCTATCGTTTTTCGGAAAAAATAACAATATAGGAGTACCAAAAAAATTTATTTTTTGGTTTGAAAAATATTTTAAAACAAAAAAAAAATTTTTTTTGTAAAACACCATTTGCGAAAATGCAAATAAAAATATTTTAAAAATTTTAATGTGAGTAAAATTTTTCTCTCTTAAAGCTACTATTTTAATATTTAAAAAATGTCCAATACTAGCGTAAAATTGTTTCTTAACTCATAGATGCCACAGGTGACAAAAAATGTATAAAGAGGTAAAAACTTAATTCCCATTTTATTAATTTATTTATTTAACTTACGTAATTATTAAATCGTTACTGCCACAAAGGTATACATTGCAAATTATTCATATTTAAAACGAAAAAATTCTTTGCAAATATTTTATTAGTAAACTGAAAAAAAATATTTTTAAAAAAGTTGCATCTCTTTAAATAGTTTATTACTTTTTATTAACCACCACCTTTTATATTTTTAGTCACCTTGGGCCTCTCTCTAAACTTAATTATGTTTTCTAGTAAATTATCCTTAATCTCTTAAAATAATGTTCATAACAAAATAACTTTCTCAGCACTTTTGAGTTATTTATACAAGAAAAAATAAGTGCTTTCAAATTGCTTCTGGTCCTAAGGGATAATGTAAAAAATTATGTTTTGTTCTGAAATCATGCACTTATGTTTTTCAACCAATTTAGTAACTATTCGGAGAAATACTCCCTCTAGTTTATATACGAACCTGCTGCAACTTTTTTCATACAGCAAAACAATAGTTCGGCAGGTAAACGGTTAATGCAAGCAATAATTTATTTATAATGAATGATGCACTATTAATCTATGACAACTAATAATCATAGAATAATATAGAGATGAAGATTTAAGTAACAAAAATTTTAAATTGACTAGTCGTGACTTTTGTTGTCACCTCACTAAATATATATATGTACACCAAGCATGCTTGGGAACTAAACACTGAGGATTTCGCGTTCGGTTGACCACCTAACCAGAACGTCTGCTCCTGCACCCCAGAGCCCAAGGTCAAGAAAACTGAGATGGGCACAGTAGGCCTTGGCACTCTATGGGCTGTCGCGCTACTGGCCACTGAGTTTAGTAGTTTCAGTACATATATATATTTTACACGGTGACACATTTAGTTCTTATTTCTTTTTCATATTGGCAACAAAGAATTTGGATATCAAACGTGTAATTAGCTTGTCATTAGCTTGAAGGCGTAAACGTACATGTTAACAAATTTATGAATAAAAATTTCTTTCTCGAGAGGACAGCAAAAAAGCGGACTGCAACAAACTGAGCGATAAGTTAGGAATAATAGAAATGTTAAAAGCGAATAGCTCCAGCAAAATGATCCAGTTTATGTTTTAATTATACTTATATGGGTTCAATAATATAATTTTATTTATTGTTATTGTTATTTATCGATAAATGCGTCATGCTTTTCTGCTTTTTATGTACAATTAAACAAATCGTGCTCGAAGAGCAGAAGAAAGCGTTGATAACAGTTATGAAGGACGTAACATTGAAAGAATGCCTAGGAGACGTGCTGAAATACACGTTTTTTTTAAAGTATGAATATTGTTTTGTTTAAAATTTAAAATTTTTATTCCTGTTACTTATTATTGACTAAAAATTTTAAATTTTTTTAAAGATTTTTAATAATTTATTAAAATTTTTAAGAACTTACGCTGGAAATCATTTCAAATGGGTTTAACTTAGTACTGGTTTACAGTACGTAAAATATCCTCAGTGGTAGACGGATCATGAATAAGAGTCCTTCTTGCCGTTAGGCTAACTGGGAGAGGATTTCGTAGTTTTCCTCTCCGTGTAACACAAATGCGGGTTAGTTCCATTAAAATGTCCTCCACGAAGGTAAGTTTCCCCCGAAACATTGTTCAGGAGTTCCCTTGTGTTCTGGATTGGGATCAAAATTACAAAACTGCATAGTTAACTGGTTTGCAAAGCACGCCAAAAAATATTGCATATCAATCTTTTGGGGGTTGTAATTAGAGGGTTGAGCCCACTATTTTAAAACTTAAGTTGCATACAATTCTCGAAAATATAACATTTCACTTTGTGTAACCGATGTAATTTTTACTTTTGCAAATGTTCCGTTTTCGCAACGTACTCTGTTGAAATATTGGTATTCCCTCATTAGAACGGAATTATAAAATTTTGCATATAGATTGTTTTTAAAATACGGATCAAATACAGGAATTATAAAATTTTGTACATAGATTTTTTTTTAAAAAATGCGGATTAAAAACAGGAATTATAAAATTTTGTATATAGATTTTTTTTTAAAAATACGGATTAAATACGGGAATTATAAAATTTTGTACATAGATTTTTTTTAAAAAATACGGAATAAATACAAAGTTTTCAATATAACTGTAACATATTGCATGTTCACAACAGTATGTCTGATTGGGCAAATAAATTAAACTTAAGAAATTAACGGTTGGATTTTTTAAAATGCGTAATAATTATTAAATTCCCAACATAACTTAAGTTATCTCAAATAGTAAATTATATTAATATTAAGTTATATTAATAGTAAGTTATATATTATTAGTAAGTTATCTTTAACAATATTCTTACTTATAGAAATATCACTTTTTAATGCACACGAATTTTGAGGACTCATTTAAAAATTGAACTTACCAAAAGGAGACACGCGACGATCTAGTAAAACATGTAGTTTACTATATCCTCTACTATCAATGTATTAGTCCTTGCCTTTTCTAATCGCGGTAGTTTTTGTGTTAGGTACAAATCGGGCGGTGGCACATCCCGAAATTCCAGACCAAGACAAACACTGATGGACGATCGTCCCATTTCCCTCTGTCAACATCAACCCTCAACAAAAAAGCAGATGTCCTTCGGAACAGAAAGTCATCACACACGCTTTGACCACTGGTCAAACTTTTATTGTCCCAACGTCCATTAACACAAAGTACGGATTCTGTTTCCGTAGTTTGTGAACGTGTCAGCGTGACTAATTTGCAATTCTTTGTTCGGGAGAAATGTTTCACTCAATTTTGGAACAATTTTTTCAAATGGAATAAAAAGAATTCTGATACAAATAAGTCTGTCTGTATTTTTGAGGAATGACACAATATTTCTCTACCAACCTCCTATGACCTATATAGCGTTTGACTTAAATCAACGATCTCTGCGTTTTACTCTTTGCTCAACCTGCATGTTCAACCTGTATTTTCCATAGAAAACTATTTTCTCTTTCAGTATTCAGTCGGACATCTATTTAACGAACTTCCATTTTGCGAACTTCTCTCTTTTTGCGATTTTTTCCGAGGAACCAAGAACATTTTGAAAATTTCTTCGTTAAATATCTTCTAAATAGCGAAGTGAATTTTCTATTTAACGAAATTTTCTTTGAGGTCCACAAGTTCAAACTTGTTAACGCATTTTATGGGGGAAATGACCTCGAATTGATATTCGAAACCACTTAACTTTTAGAGAAAGCAGCAAAATCCCTTTCCCTTTTTGTTTGCATTTCAAACGAAAAACTCAGACAAAATTAACCGAATTTTATCAGTAGCAATTTAACTTAACCCTTTCGGGATGGGAGAGTCATAAATGTATTCGTAAAGAATCAGTATCAGGATGTTAAAAAATAAAAAAGTGGTAGCTTAAGTTTGGGCATGGCTAATTTGATAGACATTTTTTTGCTTTCACTTTAAATCTAACACATTCAATCCACTTGTGTTGAAAGTGTAACTATACAATTTTTAATACGAACTAAGTGGTGAATTAAATAAAGCAAACGATCATTACAAATAAATTGCTATAAAATAGTTGTGCTACCAGTTTTATCTTTTTTACCCTGATTATCGCCACCCTGAGAATGCATATATGACTCTCCCGTCTCGAAAAGGTTAATAACGCATGTGGTAATGTATGTTTAAAATTACTTTTATAATATATGCAGCTTTAATTTTAGACATTAATTTAGCTTTTTTTAGTTGAAAAAGTATGTAGCATGATAGTATGACATTGGATAATGTCTTACTCAATTTTAACTTTCCCATGCAGATTTCTTTTATGACTTAGATTTTTAAAATAAATAGTAAATATTAATATACAAGATAAAGGTGTATTAATTGCTATTTTAATTATGTGTAGTGTTTATGAATTTAAAACCTGTTTTGCGTTGTAAGTTCTTCAAAAGGTCATTTCGATTTAATGAATTTTCCATATAGCGACTGCATTAAATAGAGGTCCGGCTGTATTTTAAATTACTGTACTATATTGAAAGAGAAAATACTATTGTAAGATAGTTTAAAAATTGTATGATAGTTCAAAATGCAAGTGGAAATATTTTATAGCATTTTTCTTTCATTTGAGTTTCTGTTTTTGGATTCCTCCGATCTAAGTAAATAAATTTTTCAATCAGTTATGGCTTTTTACCCGTTAATGAAAGGTTTTAACCCAGAAATAAACGGGACTAATGGCAAATGCAGTGGCGTGCAATGTGTTTTAAAAGTAAAAATGTTTGCACAGTGCTGTAACTTTTAATTATTGATTGGATTTCCCCAAACTAACGTGTAATCTATATAGCTAGAGGGATTAGTTAGAAAATTACAAATTTAACCATTTGACTCAGATGGGACAGTATATTTGTACTGAAATATAAAATCTAAAAAAGCAGTTTGAAATTTCTTATTTCATTCATATTCAAAATATTATAAATAATTGATTTTGTAATTTAAAGAAATTTCAATGATGAATCGCCGGTGAAAGTCAACATTCTCTTGATTTCGTTCGTTCGTTGTAATGGAACTGGGCGTCTGAGGCCTTACGACCCTTCTCTTAATTTCTTTTTCTTTCTTTATTTAAATCAAGGTGGGTGCCTGGGCCGCGCAGCAGCCCCTAACCCATTCATCATGAAATAATTTACATTGTTTGAAAACATTTTATGTTATGCAACATTGTGGTGGCAAGATTAAAAAGACAGGAAATAAGAAAAAAGAAAATATAAAAAGAACAGAAATTACAGGCATTGTTTNATGGTGCTTCTGTGTACGTCACCGCTTCAGGAAAGCATTTCCGACCCCACATTGCTATATGATTTCGAGTCGTCAGGATGCCCCCTACCCCTCTTAGAAGTTCTGAAACGCTTAACTGAGACACCCTGTATATAGTTCGAGGGATAAATTTGAAAAATGCTAACTTAGCCCTTTTACTCAGATGGGACCCTTGTGTCCCTTTCAATCATTTTTTCTCACAATTTGATTTAAAAAAAGCAGATAAAAATGAAAAAAAAAGCAAATTTTTGAATAAATTATACAAAATACAATATTTTGTATACAAAAATATAAAAGTATATGTTTGTGTTTTTATATTTTAAAAAATATTTCAATAACCACTAAAAAAATCAGATTATCGGAAGTATATTTGTACTAAACAGGGTTCCCGCGGTCCTTGAAAAATTTAAAAAGTGGTAGCAAATTTAGGGTGGACCTCCAATATACTTTTTTTATTTTAATATACTTTTTTATCGTTAAGTGCTGAAATTTTCGTGCATATATACATTTTTTAGAAAACAAGTTTTAGTGGTGGCTACACAGAAATAAAAATGTCAAAATTTCTTTTATTTTTACTACCACTTTTTAAAATTCTCAAGGACCGTGGGAACCCTGCTAAAGTATAAATCAAAAAAAGTTTTACAATATTATAAATAATTGATTTCGTAATTTAAAGAAATTTCAATGATGAATAATTACTTCCCTTAAATGTAAACAACTGCAAATAAGTGCAAGTTTGAAAAATTATTGGAAAAAACCCGCTTTTGGAAGATTTTACCTTTAATGCAGAAGAAGACATCGGTGTTTCATGCTGTATTTCATAACCATAAAATATTAAGGAGCTAAATAAAATATTTTTCACTTATTTTGATCTAAATTAATACAAAATAATGAAAAAAAAAATTTTTTTTAATTCTGCGTTGATTGGTTAATTAGTTCAGATGTTATTTTAAGTTATGAAATCGGACGCAAAAACGTACTTTTTCGGATCAAACATAGACTTTTTTTAGAAGGATTAGGATTTTCGTCAATATATGTTATTCTCAAGAAACAGAGTCCCAGACCCCTATCTTGAAATAAATTCTTATAGATTTGAAACAGTAGTTTTACTTAGTTAGGATCAATTATTACCATTGATAACAGAATTACTCCTGAAATAAAAAACCGACTCTATCTGGCGAATAGGGCTGTCTATGGGCTGAGAAGATTTATTAAATCTAGGTTTTTTCCAGAAAAACAAAGTTCTAAATCTACAAAACTCTTGTCCGGCCAGTCTTGACATACGCTACTGAAGCTTGGACAATGACAAAAGTGGAGGAAAATTGTAACGCAATATTTGAGAGAAAGATTTTGCGGGGTATACTTGGTGCTGTAAATGAAAACAATAACTGGAGAAGGAGATTTAACTTTGAACTGTACAAGATTTATAAACAGCCTGATATTATTAAATACATAAACATAAATAAAGTGAATTGGATCGCTCACGTGATTCGAATGAGTGACGACACCAAACGATAAAAAAGATACTGCTTTTTAGACCCACTGGAAAAAGAAAGCGGGGAAGGCCGCGGCTGAGATGGGCTGACTCAGTGGAGTCTGATTTTCTCGCAATTAATGAAAAGAATTGGAGATCAAAGATAAATCGGAAGTCATCATGGAGAAATCTTCAGAGGAATGCATTGGCTCACATTGGGCTGTCTAGATACACACACACACATTGGTCTGGTCACATTGATAATGATGATGGATTTTCGTCAAAAACATATTCCTTAAAATAGAGAAAGGGACAGTCGCAATCAGGAAGATATGATTCATCTTTGTTATGACGGAATCTCAGCGATGCTAACTTGCTCCGGACTGCAAAAAAATATTCTATTGGTGGTGCTTATGTGCATGATTCTTGGTTAGTAAAATCAATTTATAGAGTTTTAACTCAACTTTATTTCTAAATAATTAAAAGGCGTAAGTGAAGCACCACCTTATAATTGCAATGCTTCCAATTAATACTCATTTTGCAAAATATTTTTTTGAGTGGTTGACTATTAAAAACTAAAGCTTACAGAAAGTTGGTAGTTTTGCAGGTATTTTAAAAGCTTCACAACGAAAGATTTAGTCCTAGTCCTAGTGTTTTAATTTTATTGGGCACCTGGGTCGCGAAGCGACCCCTATCCCATTCATGCGAAAGGTTTAGAACAACGTGACTTAGTATGTAAGGTTTTGAATAACTTTCAAGTATTGGTGCGAAAAATAATTTCAAGTCAAATTTATAAGAAAAAATAATGGTATCAATGGAAGAAATTTTTCCAAAAAGCGTAGAAAGTTGGCAGGACTGTTACTGTTAAGCAGCGACATGGGTGAAAGCGAGACGGAAACGAGGAAAGGCTGGTAGTAAAACCTTTCCAGTTATAACTAGTTTTGGGGAGGAGCTTACTTATTCTTTTTATAAATTTTTCAACAATATCCACTTTATCTTGGAAAAGAAGCAGTTTTATATATATGCCAGAATTATAAAAGAAATCTTGATAGTTACAGATATTTCATTTTTTTCGAAAAAAATGCTGGAATGAAATGTTTTACGTACCAGGTTTTTCTCTTTTCCGTCTTGCTATATAAGGGCTTTCACCCATGAGCAGCGATCAGCCATAAAAAAAAAAAACTGACCGAAAATCTTCAAATTTAAATTTATAGATGAGTAACGTTTTTTAAAGCATTTTGTAGAATCCAAAGCTCTTGGAATGTCTGCAGTGCAGTTTGACTACGAGAATAAGTTAATATTTTAATTGATTATATTTAGTTCTGAAG